TACCTGTAGGACTTAGAGAAAATCCTAAGGTCGAAAACTCCAACGTGTAGAATCAGCTGCCGCAGCCTTTCAACTTAGACGTTAAGATAAACAAAAATGAACTCAGTGACAATGTATATTATATGTATTAATTATCGATACTATATGTACTATGTGTATGACACATATTAATTATTGATACTATACATACTATGCATATAATATAAATATTTTTTTTCTCAATAAATTATTAATATTATTGATATTATAAGATAATATGGTTAAATGTATGTGATCTGATGCATTTCCATTATCTTCAGTGGATTATAAATTTATTATGCAATATCATGATGCAAAACTTAAAACTAATATCTTAAAAAAGTTAAGGGATAAATATTCTATGACAAATAGTCATTTTTATAAAATTTGGAGGGTGAAGAAATTTATATGATTGAATGGCATCAGCCTATATCAGATGAGTCGAAGACTCGAAGCTCAGCTTTCTTAATGATATTTCTAGATCAGAATTTATTTATATCTGAATTATGCTTACCAAATATTGACCAAGCTAATATAGTTGAAAATTCTATTATTACTTCAGATAAGCGGGTTAAAAATAGAAAATTAAGATCTATGATTCATAAACCAATAAAAAAAGTGAGAAAGAAAGATGATCTATATACTTTAATCAAACGTAATCGTAAAGAAACAAAAGAAGCTGAACATGAATCAGAAAGAATTTTAACCACGAAGTGACTGTTTTCAGCAAATTCTAACTAATCTATCTTTGCTTTTTTTATATTGATATTGGTAATCTTTTCATTTAAGTTATCAGATTCATTTTTATAGTCACTGTGTGATTGTCTTCAGCAAACCCACAACTTTTTATTGAGTTCGATTAATTTAACATTGGATTTGAGTATCTCATATAGCGATTTTTCTAACTCCTCATAGCTCATGTATTTTTTTTAAAAGTCGAGTTGTCAGAATCTGAGCTAAAACCCGCAGGAGCATACCATTATTCGAATCATACATTATCATTCTTATCACTATCTGTTTCCTAGAAAATTTGATCTGATACCAGTTTATTATCCTAGAATGTAATTATGCAATTTATTTCAAGTTTATTCTTGATTTTGTGCATAGTGACTAAAATAATAAAATCTTCTCTATTGTAATGAATTTTCATTTTATTATTACTCCAGTCTACAGCACATTATATTTTTTAAGAAGCAGATTTGAAAATATTAATGTCGGTTTAAGAACTCGTATAACTACAAAATCTTCATATATAGTAAAATCTGGAGGAAATGTTATTGGCAAATTATGAGTAATACCAACAGATTCTGTTGGAACAGTAGCGACGCCACTAAGATCATATTTTTCTGACCTATCTATTTTTCCACCTACATGTTTAACAATATTTTCTGATATAATTGCGGGTTCAGCGTCACTATCAAGTACCAATGCAGGAATTTTTAAGCATTTAATTTTAACTGGTATAGTTGCAATACTAATTACTAGTTCATTCTTTTTAACAAAATCAATCTCCATAGGATCATTTAATATCTCCTCTTCTCTATTTGATTCTAAAATTATTGAAGACGAATCTCAGTGATTTGTGAAATTCAGAATAGATAAGTATTTATCTTCAGATTTAAGTTTCTCCAACTGATGCGAGAGTAAGACCTTTTCAAACATATCTAACAAAATTTGACAAATATTCTGCTCAAGGATAGTCACTTTATTTTAAGATTTACTAGAAGTAGAAATACCTTTCTGTTTAGTCTTACGAGATTTAGGTGTTTTCTTAGAGGATAGTTTACCCTTTTGCTTTACTTTTTTTTTGATTTAATAGCATTTATAATTTTTACGATTTTAGTTTCAGTTAAGTCACTCTCAGAATCAGATTCTAATTCAGAACCAAAACTAGACCTAGAGTTAGAATTGGATTCATTATCAGAAAAGCTAGCATCAGACTCAGAATCTGAATCTTTAATAACAAGATTAATCCTACCTTTTTTCTTGGATCTGCTTTTATTAAAATGTCTAGACTTGCTTCTCTTTTTATTTTTAGGGCAGTTGTGAGAATTGTGATCTGTTTTACCATACTTTAAACATTTGTATTGAGAAGATTTTAAAACAGCATGTATTATTTGAGCTAATTTTGCTTGATTGATATCCAACTGCTCAAATTATTGTCTCATTTCTTCAATGGGATCATAGTCATAAGCTTCTTCTTGTAAATTTGTATTATTAAAAACACTATTTAAAAAATGGTTCATAGCAAATTCATTAGCTTTTTGTTTTTCTAATTCAGGAGGTTTCTTCAAAGTTTGCTGTCCTTTAGTGATAGTTCCTTTCAAACCTACTATAATTTTTTTGAAATCGTCTTGTGAAAGTGTTATTTGATTAGATTGATTCTTCTGAGGTTTAGAAGAGATAGTTTGTGAGGCAGGTTGAGATTGCTCAGATATTATCATAGATTTTACCAAGTTTCTGACTTCGTTTTTAGTCATACCTATATTGCTTGATAACTATCTTTTGTATTAGCTTTAGATTGTGATTAAGAAATAACAAGGTGAGATTTGGGATTATACTGACCTAATATCATTTCAGCCCTCTATCTTTCAATTTTTTCTAATTTTGGTAATAAAGCGAAAATTGGATATTCGAGACCAATACATCTTACTTCTATTTTGTTATCAGGAGAAAGATCCTAAAAGAATTGCTGTCTAACCATTTCTTCCTGATTTAATTCTGGAAGCGCTAGATAGGCAAGACTAACCATTCTTTTCAATTTTGCATAAAATGATTTATAGGATCAGTATTTTGAGTAATGTTATGAAATACTACTTTTGATTTTTCAGCAGTTATTGTGGAATAATTAGTTTTAAACCAATATAGTACCTGTCTAATGTAAATCCTGGAGTTATAATATTTCCTCCTGCATTAATATTAAGAGCATTAGGTGCTAATTCTATTAGTCAACCACCAGATATCAATCAATTTTCATCAAAAACAGTATATGCTGGCACCAATGGTATAGCAATTGCATTGTTGTTAGCTGGAACTGTATTTCTTATTTGAAGAGCTCTGCCTCTAAACTAATTAACATTAATAGTACGCAATGCATTATTGTTAGCCAATCCATTGATAGCACTAAGATTAGCCAAGTTAGTATTGTCGCTAATATTTTGCAATTTCCAATTTTAAATAAGTCTCAAAAAGTTCATGAATCCTTATTCTGGTTTGAGCATCTGCAAGTGGATCAAGTCCAAATGCTTTACAGTATTGTCTAAAATCTCTAATCCATTCTTCAGGATCTTTTCCAACTTTTCTGTAAAATAGGGTGGTGCATATCCTGCCATTCCTCTATATTGATTATTTATAGGTAAATTATTCTGAAGCGCAAAAATTTGTTGATTCAAATTTAAAATTAATTGCTGTGAATTGCACTTTCTATTTTTCCACTTGATATGACTTTCCTTCTGATCTTTGAATTTATTATAATATTTATCAAAAAGCTGATCTCGATTATATTCTAATAATCCTTTATCAGTCTGGCATTGTTGTAGCTCCTGTTCTAAGTAATGAATAAATACCTTATAAATAATTTCAAGAATACATTTGAGTTTGATTGTTCATCTCATATCAGACTTGCATTAAACCACAAACGCCTTTGCAAATTATATCTTTGTTAGCTATTATTAAGATCTCGAGTAAGTTGATTAACATGATTCTGCAAGGCATCTCATTCTGGTATAAGTTAGTTGACATAGTTTTGCAAGGTATCTCGCTCTGGTATAAGTTGATTAACATAATTTTGTAAGGTATTTCGCTCTTGAACAAGTTGGTTGGTTTGATTTTGAAGGTTGATATTTTGCTGTCTATACAGTCAACGACTAATATTATGCGGACATTTTTAAAATCAAAAAAAATTATATATACATAATATAATAAAAATAAAATTTTAATAAAATAAATTCAAATATATCTTTATTTATTGATTTATAAAAAAATTTA